CACACACGCACACACACATTGAGGTGATGGAGCAGGTGTGTGATTAATAGTGCTCTGCTCTCCATCAAACACACCGAGACAAAGTAAAAGAGATCAGTGTGTGTGTGTGTGTGTGCTTCCAGATTCAAGATCTGGTAGATTTATAACCCGTCTGCGTTCTTCTTCCCTCAGTATCAGCTGATATCACACACAGTCTAGTGCTGAGAAGTTTCCACAAATCCGTTCTTTTGAACATTTTGTTTCATCGAACCAGTTACAACATCAACAATCACCAGCGGCAGTTCACCGGATCTCTTACATGATCACGTTTTCCCAGACAGACATACAATTCACACGGGTTAAACATGTTTTAGTGGTGCACTCAAGTGCCTATTGAAAACATTACAGATGCAAAAACACTTTAGAGAAATATGGTTAAAATGATGTGTGTTAATAAGAAATACGTAATAAGAAACGTGTTAATCTAAAGTCAGTTGAAATCAGTAATACTTACTATTACTAATACTAACACATTTACTTGATTTAATGTTTTAGCCAGTGTTCAAACTGCATAAAATTAAATAAAATTATATTTTTTTATTTTTTATTTGTTTCACAAAAGCTTCTTTGTGGTGAAAGAAGGTTCTTCAGATTATAAAAAGGTAAGAAAGAGATGGTTCTTTAAAGAAGCTTTGACTGAATGCTTCTTTGTGGAACCAAAAATGGTTCTTCTATGGCATCGCTTCAAGAATCTTTTGAAGCACCTTTATTTCTAAGAGTGCTTCTACCATGCTTTGACATATTTTGAAGCTTGAAAGCGCGTAAGTAGCAGCAGCAGGAGGAATTTTATCGAGAGGAATGTGACGTTTGCTTTAGTTGAGGTGAGACTGAATGTGTTGAATGATTTCAGTCATTCATGAAGGCCTTCACAGCAGTAAACATGAACACATTTCCCTCAGAATTCAATCAGTCCTCGTTTCCTCGTCCTAACAAGTTGTAATTCTGTCGCCGTTCACACGCACACCCCTGCGATGAGAGCATGAGGTAACCATGGCAACCTAAGATTGATGGATGACGATGGTCTGACATTGCCCCCAGACTCAGCATCACTCCAGCGCTCTCAATGTGTCCATTAATACGGCTCTCGCTATCACTGCCGCCGCCGCAGCCATGGCAACAACACAACGCTCACCTCTGAGGATCGACCAGCAAAACCTCGCTCTCACGCCTCAACAGTCTCAGAGTGAAAAGAACGCATGACTGAATGGACGCACGGACAGAAAATGAAACCCATCTATAAGGATGTACGGTTATGTGGGTGTGGCTGTGCATAAATGGGTGTGGTCATATCTGAAAAGGGTGTGGCTTAAACTTCTGCAGTACAATATATTTATTTTGAAAATTTTACGTGACCTGGACACCAACCCTGTACAATGCAGTTCGGCAGTTTACATTTTTTTTAATTAGTTACAATTTTAGTTTTAGTAATTTTAGTATTTCAACTTATTTAATCTTTTCATTTGTTCCCTTACCAATGCAGATTGGCAGTTCACGCAGTGTGACAAAATGTACAACTTTCTTTTGTTTGCTTTGCTTTCATTTATTTACATTTCTGTTTTAGTTTTAGTCATTTTAATATTTCAGATTTTTTTTTTATATTTACATTTACATTTTATCATTTAGCAGACACTCTTATCCAAAGCGACTTATACATAAGGCAACATTTCTCATTTTTAAGTTTATTTATTACATTTTTTTTTACTGTTTAGTTTTTTGTTCGTTTTTTTCCCCCATGTTTGCGTGTGTAAAAAAAAATGTAGAACATTTTTACAAAAGTTAGTTTGTTTCAATTTTAGTTGAAGTTTTAGTAATTTAATGTGCTTTTGATTTATTTTTATATATTTCTAACTTGCTTCAAATTATTTTCATTTTGGTTTTAGTTTTAGTAATTGTAGTATGTCGACTTACTTTGTTTCAGTTAGCAGCCAAGGCAACATTTCTAAAGTATTTTGATTTTTGTTTTTCTTTCGTGCACAAAAAGATACATTTGAAAAATTTTAAAAGAAAAATGTGTCAAAAAAAAAAAAAACACAGGAAGATTTTTAGTTTTTTCTCTCTCTCTCTAATTAATGAGATCCGGTCACCATCTATAAGGATGCACGGTTATGTGGTTATGTGTAGATATACATATATATATTTATATATATATATCCTTATAGATAGGTGATCGTGCGCCTGAAAACACAAGCACTCAGAACTGTTTTTCTGAAGGACCACAAGCTCCGATTTTGGACTAAAAAAAAGACATGCCCACAAACCAAATCTAGAGTGGGTGTGGCTAAGCCCATAGTGGGTGTTTCCATGTCTGATGTGGGTGTGGCTCAGCCGAAGGTGGGTGTGTTCAAGCCTGTAGTGAATGGAACTAACCCATGACGGGGTGTGGCCAAATGTGACGGGTGTGGCTAAGCATAATGTGGGCGTGTCTATTTCTGATGACGTGCATCCTCATGCTATTATTGTTTAGAAACTATTATAATATTTATTAATATTGTAATCAAGTTTCCATTTTTTTTAAGTTGGAGTAGTTTTTAAAATTGATTTAGTCATTTTCTTTAGTTTTTGTTTATTTTAAATATTTCAGTTTAGCTTTCATTTATTTTGTCTTTAGTTGTAGAGTTTGTCAATTTTAGTACTTCAACTTATTTTTATTTTAGTTTTAAATTTTCCATCAGATATTTATGTTTTCTAGCCATTTTGTTTCCATTATGAACAATTTTTGTAACAGTTTTAGTTATCGACATCAACGCTGGCACTCATGCTCAAATGTGGGCGTGTTTAAGTATGAAGGGGGCGTGTCCAATTAGGTGGTGGGCGTGTCACTGCCTAAAATAGGTGTGTCTCCAATCCTCACCATTCATTGACCTCTACTTCCAGATGTGACTCACACACTGTAAATTAAATCTGACTGGCGAAATGTTATTTTAAACACCAGGACCTGAAGGAGACCTGCAGTTTTCCCTTCTCACTTGCTAATCAAAACGTCTGTCAGCGATCTACTCCTCTCTCTCGTTCTCTCGAGAGCCATGGCTGTCGACGGCGCTCCACAGGGCCTTTCTTTCATCCATCAAAATGCCTTTTCTCCCCCTTATTTTTCACTGTTTTTCACTTTTTCCTGTCAATTGTTCTTCTGTTTCTCTCCCGGTAAAGCCGAACCTGGGCTCTGAATGGAAAATGTAAATGAAGCTTTTAGACTAAATGCACCTGGCTGAGGCTCCGTCCCATGCGACCCCACGCCTGCCAGACGGAGAAAAACCCGTCGACCACACCGACACAACAATAGACATCAATAGAGAAACAACAACACAGAAACAGTCAAATAGCACTAATAGGTGAGCGGTTGAAAACAATGCATGGCAGCGACTCACAAAAACTCAGCAGGCGTCGAGCTGCACATCAGACGCGTCATGTTGGCCTTTAGAAAACACACAAAACCAACCGAAAGCAACAGTAACAATGCAAACACACCAGCGTATGCGTGTTTGTTCGGCGTGTATTAAGTCGCTCAGCTGGGAATCATCGTTGATCATGGATCATATGGAGAGATAAAGACCGCCCACCCGCTGATCTTATAGATAGGTGATCGTGCGCCTGACAACACAAGCACTCAGAACTGTTTTTCTGAAGGACCACAAGCTCCAATTTTGGACTAAAAAAAAGACATGCCCACAAACCAAATCTAGAGTGGGTGTGGCTAAGCCCATAGTGGGTGTTTCCATGTCTGATGTGGGTGTGGCTCAGCCCAAGGTGGGTGTGTTCAAGCCTGTAGTGAATGGAACTAACCCATGACGGGGTGTGGCCAAATGTGACGGGTGTGGCTAAGCATAATGTGGGCGTGTCTATTTCTGATGACGTGCATCCTCCTTATTTTATTATTGTTTAGAAACTATTATAATATTTATTAATATTGTAATTAATAATAGTTTTTTTTATCAAGTTTCCATTTTTATTAAGTTGGAGTAGTTTTTAAAATCGATTTAGTCGTTTTCTTTAGTTTTTGTTTATTTTAAATATTTCAGTTTAGCTTTAATTTATTTTCTCTTTAGCTGTAGATTTTGTAAATTTTAGTACTTCAACTTATTTTTATTTTAGTTTTAAATTTTCGAGTTTTCCATCTGATATTTATGTTTTCTAGCCATTTTGTTTCCATTATGAACAATTTTTGTAATAGTTTTAGTTATCGACATCAACACTGGCGCTCATGCTCAAATGTGGGCGTGTTTAAGCATGGAGGGGGCGTGTCCAATTAGGTGGTGGGCGTGTCACTGTCTAAAATAGGTGTGTCTCCAATCCTCACCATTCATTGACCTCTACTTCCAGATGTGACTCACACACTGTAAATTAAATCTGAGTGGCGAAATGTTATTTTAAACACCAGGACCTGAAGGAGACCTGCAGTTTTCCCTTCTCACTTGCTAATCAAAACGTCTGTCAGCGATCTACTCCTCTCTCTCGTTCTCTCGAGAGCCACGGCTGTCGACGGCGCTCCACAGGGCCTTTCTTTCATCCGTCAAAATGCCTTTTCTCCCCCTTATTTTTCACTGTTTTTCACTTTTTCCTGTCAATTGTTCTTCTGTTTCTCTCCAGGTAAAGCCGAACCTGGGCTCTGAATGGAAAATGTAAATGAAGCTTTTAGACTAAATGCACCTGGCTGAGGCTCCGTCCCATGCGACCCCACGCCTGCCAGACGGAGAAAAACCCCTGCGCTCGACCACACCGACACAACAATAGACATCAATAGAGAAACAACAACACAGAAACAGTCAAATAGCACTAATAGGTGAGCGGTTGAAAACAATGCATGGCAGCGACTCACAAAAACTCAGCAGGCGTCGAGCTGCACATCAGACGCGTCATGTTGGCCTTTAGAAAACACACAAAACCAACCGAAAGCAACAGTAACAATGCAAACACACCAGCGTATGCGTGTTTGTTCGGCGTGTATTAAGTCGCTCAGCTGGGAATCATCGTTGATCATGGATCATATGGAGAGATAAAGACCGCCCACCCGCTGATCTCCCACAATGCACCTCACAGCCTGGAGTCATCAGCGCACAATAAACAGTCTCCACAGAGATCTGCTCCACATAAACACACCTCACGTCTTTCTTCTGATTTCTTCAGAGCAAAAGACATTCAGCCCGGGATGATTTACATCATATAGTCCTACAATCACTGAGATACCATTATATTTCAAATCAGTCATTTTTATATTTCCAGTTTTCTTTTTAATTTTAGTTAGATTTTTTTTTTAATTTGTTGTGCATTTTTGTCATGTTATTAGTTATGATGTGTGTGTGTGTGTGTGTGTGTGTGT